TTCAACTATGCATGTCTCAGCACTGATGAAATGAAGCAGCTCTGCACTCTTCAGGGGCAGAGTGGGAGCCAAGCCATTTGGTTGCCTGAGTAGTCATTAGGAAGCCAGCTGCAAACTTGGATTCCCCTCAAGGACCACGGAGGAGCCCCACTGGCCGTGCCAAGAGAGCTTCTCTTTAAAACAAAGCTGTTACTTTCATGTTGCTGGCATCTGCTTTTGCTCTCAGGATAATTCAACCCTCGGGTGCCCTGGTGTGGATACTGCAGGGGAAGGGGCGGGGGTGGGGTCCGGGAGGCAGCAGGCAGGCCTCAGGTCCAGGTTCTTATTGGTTTAAGAGCCTTCACTCTCTCTAAGGTAATTTTCCCGACTTGCGCGTATCACAGGTTAATACCAGACCCATGCCTAATGATACATAATTTAAGACTTGTAAAAGCTGCCTGGGACTTGAAAGAAACACACTCTAAGCCAGGAAGGTTGTGCCCGGCATGCAAGAGCAAGTAACACAGGTGGAATTTATGTCCAAAGCAAGGGAGCCGCGCCCTTTTGACACGCTCTCAAAAGGTGCCATGCAGGAGTGTCATGAGACCCGGGGCCCCGTGAGCAGCACCTCCACTTGCCCTTACTCCCTAACCACCATCGGAAGGCAGCTGTTCACAAAGGGAAATTCGTTATTTTTAATAGTCCCAGAAATATCTCATGGATTCGAAGTGATGCAACAAGATTGCCCTAATGGTTTCTAACCTTTGTTTTTAACACTTCTGGGGCCGGCACCCTATAGAACTGCTGCAGGGCACCCTTCTGCCTCCAGTAACCAAGCTGTCTGTTGGCATTGTTGGAGACTGACATAGCCCAGGCCGGGATGTTTAGCTGCTTGTGGGGTTGGAAAAAAAAAATGTTAAGAAAAATAATTGTTGTTTTTGCAAACTATCTATTTAAAAACAGAACCTCAGGAAGCAGATTTCTGTTCCAATGCTAGGATGAATCAGAGCTCACAAAGTATAAATACACATTAGCAGGAGGAGGCTTCCCATAACCCAGTGCTTGTGTGTCTTCCCAGACCAGGAACCTCTGAACTCCTGCTTCTCATTCCCAGTAGAGGCAAGGAGCCGCAGCCGAGGCGGAAATGATAGAACATTGCCCAGCCCAAGTTGCAAGCTTCTGTAGGTCCGTAGGACCTTTTTACTCTTTAAAGGCAACTGGCCTTTAGCTACACACTGGCTCACCTTTGGATAGACAGGTGTTCACCGTTGAGGAAGGTGGGAAACCCATGCTCTTGTTCCTTGGGCTCTTGGGCATCTAAGAACTCTTACCAAATAAGTTAACTTTGACTCACTGACCCCTCAGATCAGCCAATAAACATGAAGCACTTAGACCACAACTTGCTCAAGGGGCAGTATAATTATTTTACTTAAAAATGATGTCAGGTGGCAATTTAGCAACAAACTGGCTTGTAGGCTACTTAATTCAGTTTAAGAGGGAAGAAAAACATTATAATTAATGAAGAGCTTATACTTTAGTACTTTAGTAGAGTTGTTCTTAAATTTTACTATACATAAGCCAGAGAGGAAGGGGAGGGAGGGGAGAGAGCTTGTTGAAAATACAGATTCCCTGGCCTTGGACTCTTGGACTGGGCCTGGGAATCTGCATGGAGAGAAACCTGCTTCCAAGTTATGCTTCTGAGTGTTGTCCAGTCTCACTGGACTTGTCATCAATTAAAATAGAGCCACCCACCCCCTTTTCTGATTTTACATTGTCTAAGTCTGGAATCTCAGCACAGTCAGCTTCAAGTTAATTCCTTACTGGAGTTTTGTGGTATGGTCTAATGCTAGGGTTCGAGTTGGTCAAATTTCTGGACTAAAAATTCTTTGTCTTCCAGGGTCTGCTTAAAGAGGGCCCAGGACATTGATGGGGAATAGGAAAGGTGTGGAGTCCCTTCTTTTCCACCTCGTCCCTGAGATAACCAGGGCTTCCTTGCCCGATTACCTCTACCTGGAGAAGGGGAAAAACTGCCCTTTACAATTCAGGGCCTGGCTTTGAGCCATGCCCAGAGGAGCCTGATCTCTGCCTTCTCACTACTGAGAAGACTTCTTAAAACAACAAATGTGAATCTCAAGATCACTTCCCTCCTGGAATAAAGAATTGCAGAGGCTCATTAAACTTTTTTTTCTCTTGGCACAAAAGCACTTGGCAACTACCCAAGGAATTCTGGGGTCCTGAAGAATCCAAGTTCACAAACCACCGGAGCAAGATATTGCTTCAGAAGGGTGTTTGAGTTGAGCACTGCTAAATCGGACGGTGCCCTGGCTCACTGGGTCTGTACCGGAACACTTCTCCCTGTCACCCCACCTTGCAGAAACCAGCTGTCCACCGGCAGAGATTAGGGAAAGTACTGCTATACCAGAGCAGGGAGATGTCGTGGGAACCCAGACTCGCCAGTGTCCAGGTCCTCCGGGCTGCCTTCCCAACAAGCCCAAACGGACTGCTCTGGATTCTGACTCCTCAGTGCTCTGCTCATGCACAGGAAGCTAGGGATATTTTTAAAGCCCATTGCCCCTTCTTAAACAGACGCCCATCAGAGAACATAGTTCCTAGCCTGGTAGAAGAAAACTTTCCCAAGGAAGAAAAAAAACCTATGCAAACCAGAGGTGGGCAGATGGCCCGACTGTGCAGCGCTGAGGGACAGTTCCAGGGAAGGTAAGCTTTGGCTTGCTCATCAACAGGGAACTCCTGGCAGCTTCACACAGCTGCTGGAAGCCATCCATGTGCCCGTCCCCGTAGCTCATCCCTGGCTACAGAGGTGCTAGAGGCAAAGCTTCCCCAACCCCACCTGTGATGTGGGGGCAGGGCCGTTTTGGCCTCTGGAACCTCCTCAGAGGCCGGCTACCTGGCACCCACAGCTGCAATGGTGAGGCCACCCAAACACGGACTCCCTGGGCACAAGGTGATGAGTAGATGGCTCTAACCCCAGAAGCTTCTACCTACCACCTCCTGTGCAGCGAGGAAAACCACTCTGGAGGTGGAAGCGTGCACAGAAGCCACAAGGGTGTGGTCCAGAATGATGGCAGAACATTAATATTAATCCAAGTAGCCGGGGAGGGGGGGCTGGGGGGGGGAGATTGAAAGGACCGAATCTCCTTCTTCCTCCCCCAACACTAATTCCAAGCTTTTTAAAAACCCTTTTAGTGTGGTGGGCATTTCCCGTGAGTGCTCACAAACAATTCACCTCCACACTACAGGCCATTAATCCAGTGGTGTTTATTCAAGCAGTATTCACACTTGCTGTTGAATAACAAGGGAATCAATGCCCCCAAGATGGGGCTCTCTCACAGCTCTGGCTTCACAGCAGCCCATGGTTTTTTGAGAACTTCAGCTGAATTTTGTGGCTGAAAAGGCTTTCAGGTTTTCTTCCTTGCCCCTGTCAGGCGAGGCCTACTTAGCACACCCCGCTTACCAGAACAGACTCGGTGGGGTGGCAAAGAGCAAGACAGAGCCAAGCAAAACTACATAAGCTCAGAAGAGGCCACACTGTTCCGTCTTTCATACAAAAAATTTAATAAATAGTACTTTTCAAAATTTATTGCCAGGAACAACACATCAAAGATGCATTTTTATGTTCATAACACTAATAGGACAATACAAAGTATCTTCACGGTCTCAATGGTGAACCAACAAAATTAACTGTTTTATAAGCCTTTTTGATCTTCAACTTTGTAATAGCATTTTGATTTCCTCATTTAAGGCAGGCAGTGTACTCTATGGCAAATCTAAACAGTGATCTTACTGGACATTTTAAGGTTCAAGTATTCAACTAGCTTATAAGAATACTCCCTAAATGCAGTAGACAACAAAAAAATCAAATCTACAAGTGGTTCAGTATTACATACGAATGGTGAAAAGAAATCAGAATTTACAAAATAAGATTGTGTGAAGTTGGAAGCACACCAATTCGGTATTTTTAATGATATTCAACCACTCACATTTTGGCTACGTAAAGTCGAAGCTCAAACTTGTTACCTTAAACTGCTGTGTAGCTGATCACCTGCCTGTCTCTTTTCAAGTCTAAAGCAGACAAAAAAAAAAAAAAAGGAACCTGCTGTTCTAGACTAATTTTCAAACTGCCTTAGTCAGTCCTTAAAACGTGTTTTAAAGTGATGCTATAGAAGGTGTTTTAAACATCTGACGTCGTACAAAAAAAAATTCCACCAGTATTCCAGGCACTGAAGCCCATCCTATTGTTTTAAACTATTTTCAAACACCTTAATTTTGGCTTATAGGCAACACGTAGTAAGAAAATAAGTTCAAAAAAAAAAAAAAAGCCATACACTTACAATGCTATCAAAAACCTTCAACTCTAAACACGTACATATAAATAAAAAGGAATGATGTTTTAAGGCTCTTGATTATTAAGTTAATAAATCAAATATACACAGTGATTAATAAAAAAGAATTATTTACATAACTATACAAAATTCTACTTTTGACACATTTTTCCTCTTTAAATTCTTCATTTTACCAGCAACTGCTGACATCAAAGTCCCCCCTCCCCCAACAACAAAATACAATAAAAAAAATAAATAATAAACTCATTTGTGATAGTTGCTGTGGTTCTGAGCTGCAAAGGCACTTTCAAATACAGAACTACTTGTACGTCATCATAAAACCAATATACACAAACAACTCAAGAGTCAATAAATATAAATAAAAACTATGATCCTAAGACTGCATCACCATCGGGACATCTGGCAGAAGTTGGGAGCTCAAGGCCCAGGGGTCGGGCGACCTCCGGGGAGCCTGGTCCGAGAGCTGGCGGCTGTGGGGGGACGTGTGCCGGGGCACTTTGGACTGGTTTTTTGCATAGCTGTGAGATGCAGCATTTGATTTCCCAGCCAACCACAGAAACTACCATTGCCAGTGTAAGCCAGCTTGTCAGAACTTAAATGAACACAGGGTTCTTAAGTCAGCGACAGCCTCCGCCTGGACTAGGATACAACAGCTGGAGAACTACAAGCCCCAGCACCCTCAGACTCTACCTAGCGGCGGCAGCGCCCGCTGTCTGCTATACGATGTACTCCATCCGGTTTAAGCTCTGGGCACTTTCCAGGTCTCTGTTGTCCTGTTTGTTTGTCCAGTTTGGGTGTTTGGCTGGCGTGCCGTTGGGGGGCTTCTCCTCTCGGTCTACCAGCGTGTACGCCGGCTGTTTGGCAAACCGGGCTTTCTGCTGGTGCTTGTCCATGTCATCCTCCTCTACCTCAGAGTTGTGTGTCCTGATTTTTGACATTTTGGAGTTTTTGTTCTCATAATCCTTGATGGGGACCGTGTTGGCCCCGTGCTTCTCGATGGGGTTTTTGATCTGGTTCAGCTGCTCCCGCACGTTGTTGGTGGTGTTGTCCTCGGAGGCCGAGTGAGCGTGGCTGCCGGGCTTCCGCCGCTTCCGCACACACCAGTAGAAGGCCGTCACCAGGCAACAGATCCAAGCCACAGTTAAGACGGAGCTCAGCAGAGGAACCAGGAAATCTGTAAGGCGGGCACGAAACCAATTAACTCTCCAAAAAAAAAAAAAAAAAAAAAAAAAAAACCCACAAAAAAAAAAAAAAAAAAAAAAAAAAAAGCCATCACACGAACAAAAGAATACCAGCAGTGGTGTGCTCCTGCCCGTAATTCCTAAAAGGGGTGCCATGGGGACAAGTCCCTTTTCACAACCCCATATTGTCACTTCACAGCTTGATAAGTACAGAACCAGGGCCCTTGGGGACCCTGACACCTCTGTCCCCAGAGACCAGGCACAGCAGCCGCTCAAGGCTCCTGGCTCCTCGGGCAGCAGCTCATTCGAGGATCTGGTTTTCAGCATTACAGGTGACCCGATCTGAGCATGCATAGCTCAAATGTCCCATATTCTCGCCTAGCTAGAACAACGGTGGTTAAAAGGGGAGTGTGGATGTCCTGCAGGGCCATCGGGCTGCCTATCCAACCTGTGTCTCCGGTACTTAGGCCGGGCTGTCCCACGACACCGGAATGCCACAGCAGGATTTGTCCGGCCATGAGCTCAAGGTGCAGCAATGCTCTGCCCTAGGGCTTTGCAGTGGATCTAGAGACAGTGCATGTTCTACAGGGATGCCAGCTTCCGAGAGCACAGCTTGGCACCAGGGAAAAAAGGTACCTCTACCCATCATCATAGGACCTTGCACATAGCAGCTGGCCCGTTTTTTTCACCAGTTAAATGGTGGGGCAGCTGGAGAGGGGGGAGGGCGGGGGTGGTCCTCAAGAGGGGAAACTGTCAGCTAATGCCCCACCTGTTGAATGGTGAGCCGAGATCGGATAGTTCTCCCCCAAGGGGACTGTCCCCACCTGCCACCTACCCGTTCTGTTCTTCAGAGGCCGCCTTTGCACTCGCACTTCGGCCACGGCAGCGATAAGCGAGCTATTCCCATCACGTTTACTAACGAGATCTATGATTTTGTCGGTGATCTCCTTGATAGGGTTTCCATCATCCCGTATGTCTTCGGCAGACTGGAAAAAGGAGAACGGTCAGATGCAGGGGCCGGGCGACACTCTCCACAGTAGCCGTTACTGAAAGTTACTGAATGCATGTGCCAAGCTCGGTTTCAGCGTCCTCCCTCTATTTGGATAGTGGCTAACTGAAGTTTGTGAACCACCCAGCAATCATGTAATGGAGTGTGACTGGGCCTCATACTTACAATGGCCACGTGTATTTCATTGTTCGCAGAAGGGGAAGGCTCACAAGCTATGTAGATTGAATATTCGGCAGAAACATTCTTTAAAATGTTCAAATTCCTCAATTCACTGCAAATATGCTCCGTGGTGAGACCCTAGAATCACATTTAAAAACCATACATGTAAGATACTGGAAGAAGTAAGTCGGGGCGGGGGGGAAGGCTGATGTTTCCTTGGAAGTTAGGAACTTAAGCTAAGGAGAACAAGATCCTAGCTGGGGATGCTCCTGCTTTGGAACAAGCAGACACACATCGCCATTCATTCCAAACTAAAAAAGATGTTGTTCCATACCGGTGACATCATCTCCTTGTTGAAGGTGAACGTGATGTTGGCACAATTCTCCTGGTAGTAGGGGTCAGAGGTACACTTGGTCTTCATGGGCTGGAGACTGGAAGACCGACACTCGCCCACACCCGTGCAGGGGCGGACGAAGCACTGGGCATCCAGGATCGGGATGCAGCTCTGCCCGCTGGGGCACTCGCTGTGCCCTTTGTGGAGCAGGCAAGGTCGAGGGCCACACCATACCTGGAGAGGGAGAGGGGGAGGGAGGGGGGATGGAGCACACAGCTCAGGAGAAGCACCTGGCAGCAACTCCAGAAAGCAGGTGAGCCGCGGAGGCCCTCCCGCTGTACCTTGGAGCAGGCGATCCTTCCATTCAAGCACCGGCAGGTGTTGCAGTCATCGTCCCACTTGGCCCCGTCCGGTATCACACTCCCCATAGTGATACAAGGTCTCCCTGAAACTGAAAGGTAGGATGCCTGAGTGGAAGGGGTTTCCTTTTCTATAGACCACTCTCTCTTCACCCCCTCTGGGAGTTAGGGAAGGATTATACCTCTGCCCTGTGCCATGGGACAACAGGTCTCCTTCCCTCACCTGCTGCCTTTGCACGTGGCCACATGACCACCTGGCTGGGCCAGTGCAGCCTTTGGGGAGGTGATGTGAGCAGAGTCTCACAGTTGGGCTTGGCCTCTTGCAAGCCTGCCATTTGCCAGATACGGCTGCTGGTCCAGGGAGAGTGAGGAAGCACACAGAACAGACCAGAGCCCAGCCTGCAGCACATTCTCACTCTGCCTGCCCTGCATGCCCACAAGCAAGACAAATCAATGCCTGCTCTAAGCCATGTTTTGGGATGGTCTGTCACACAGCAACACTGCCCAAGAGCTGGACTGAAAACCGCTTCCCTCTTTGTAGGGGACCCCTTCAATTTCCCCAGTCCCCGTGGCCCCCTCTGCATATCCCCTCCATGTTCTCTCCCTTAGCACAGTGCCCACTCAGGATCAAAGGGTAACTGTAGTGACTGTAGTGCCTGCTCACCCCACAAGACCCATTAGCAGCTGCAGCCTAACCCACATACCTTCCTGGCACTTGGCACCGCTGTGCCCTGGGGGACAGATGCACCGGTAGCCATTAATCTCATCCACACAGGTTGCCCCAAAGGCACATGGGGAAGACTGGCATTCATTGATGTCTAGGGAAAATGGAGATCAAGTTTAGGCTCCGGTGGGAAGCAATGATGTTTTTTCTAAGTTTTTACTCACCTCATATAAGCCAGAAAAGCATACAAACGGTAAGCATAAGCTTGATGAATTATGTAACCAGCACCCAAATAAAGGTACCGATCAGTACCCCAAAAACCCCTAGTCACTGCCCCCACCAATCATCATTAGCCTGACTTTTGAGCAGCTGAGAGTCAGTTCAGGAGGCAGCAATATTTGATTAAATAGGCTCCTTTTTATCAGATAGTACAACTTAGAACAAGGGCTGGCAAAGTTCTTGGGTCAAATATTTTAACCTTTGCGGACTATGTGGGCTTTGTCATGACTACGGAACTCTGTTGTAGCATGAAAGCAGCTTTAGACAGTACATAAAGGAGTAGCTGTGTGCCAATAAAACTTTATTTACAAAAAGAGGCAGTGGGCCAAGGCAACAGCTTGCCAACACAATTTAGAAACATGGAATAGACCAAATCTACCCCAACTTAGTGCCGAAGACCAGTCAGTCCCAGACCTAGGGATCTCAAGCACTAGTAAAATTTCAAATAACTTGGGGATGAGAACAACAACAAATACAGCTATCACTTACCCCCCCCCAAACTAAAGGGCATATAAAAAAAAAAAAGTAGGAAAAGCCTCACAATAAAGACTTTTTAAGCACCCTGAAAAACGATATTGCATGTCTCCTGTTTTAATCATTTCACCAAGGCCTGATCAAACCTTTGGAAACCACAACCCATCCTATCCACTGCCGTTAGCTCTGTTTTCTGGGGCTAATGTCCACTTGCCCATAATTCCAGGGCAGTCATGGGGAAAAGCATGGTTTCCTTGGGGCCTCAGAATTAGATTAATCATCCAATTCTGTGGCTGGTACTCCCTCCCCTAGAAGAGGGCTGGCTGTGCCACGGGGGGAAGGACCAGCAGGTACCTGGGAGGTTCCAGCCAGGGCTGTTTTCAGCCCAGCTGAAAACGGGGTGGGAGGTTATGTGCCTCTCAGGCCTAAAGGGATCAGTGACCTTAACCATTTTCAAGATGAAAAAGTGTCAGAGTTGGGGGAGAGAACACCACTGGCGAAACCAAATCGGGCTGCTCCTTACTTATTCTGCAATCAGGTCCAGCAAAGCCGGGGGCACACTCACACCGGTACCAGTTGTCCCCATCCACGCACGTGCCACTGTTGTAACTAAGAAGAAAGCAAAGACCGTTACTGACCTCCCAATCCACGGATCCATGACTCCACAACTCCACCAGCCAATTCACCACAGGGAGCCATGCCAGTTACGTTCGACGGCTCTCACCCTGGCTGCAATCCCCATTGCCTGGGGAGCTTTAAAAATAATGGTGCCCGGGTCCCACCCCCAGAGTGTCTCAATCACAGGTCTCCATTGCAGTCCAGGCACTGGGACTTCTAAAAGCACCCCCAGTGATCCTCGTGCACAGCCCAGGTGGAGAATCACAGCTTGCAATGGAGACACAGCCGGCTAATTAAAGTGTGGTCCACGGACCAGCATCACTTGGCGCTTGTTCGGCAGGCAGGATCTGCAGCCCCACCCAGACCTCCTGTAGCAGAACCTGTGTTCTAGACAAGATCCCTGGGAGATGCCCATGCACGCTGCGGCCAACAAGGGCTGGCTTCGAAGGTAGTGATGCTTACCAGGGATGAGGACTGCAGTCATTGGTATCTGCAAAGTAAAAAGACAACTTAATACAATGAGGCCTTCACCAGGCAAAGCAGTTTTAACCCGAAGAAGAAACCCCCCTTATTCCCCTAATACCCATACGATAGAGCTGTAGTTTATACGAGCAAAAGGCGCTGAAGGCTCTGTTCAATTGGAACCAGGCCCGCACCACCCGTTTGTTCCCTGTGCCGTGGGACACTACACAGGAAGAGGCCCCGCTCAGGGCGGGCAGGGGCTGTGAGACAGGCTGCTGGTCAGACCCACGCTGGGAACCGAGACACCATCTGTCTCCACTTATCTCCTCGGCGACTTTCTCATGCCCAGGTCAGGGCTGCAGTCCATCAAGTGCGTTAGAACAGACCCAGGTGATGCAGAAGCAGACATCAAACAGCTCTGCTTCTGGTTTCCATCGCCAGTCCCTGAGGCTGTCAGGCTGTGCTCCTGCAGCCCTCACAGAGTTCAAGGCGCGTGGGGCAGGGGGACACTCACTCTGAGTACAGATGGGCCCTTCCCAGCCTTCTTTGCAGACACACGTGAAGGAGTCCCCATTGATCACACAGGTGGCCCCGTTATGGCAAGGGTTGGGCAGGCAGCTACTGTTTCGGGCTACAAGACAAGAACAGACAGGACCACCCTCCCTGAGGATCCAAGGACAGTTCGGGGAGCCAAGGACAGTTCGGGGAGCCAAGAACCAGACCCACCACGACAACAGTCCTAGGTGTTGAGATGGCCATGCCCACAGCCAACCCCGCATGGGACAGAAAGCTACCTATGTTGCAGGTCGTCCCTTCCCAGCCTCCAGGACACATGCACTTGAAAGCGTCCCCTTCATCAGAGCAGGTGCCACCGTTGTTGCACGTGGCTTCGTCACACTGGCTGTCACCTGGAGGAGGGGGACCTCTGTGTAAGCCCCTGGCCAGCCCCCCTCACAGGAGACAGAGGGTGGGGGGGGGCCCGTGGGGGGGGGGGGGTCCTCCCAGCCAGCTACCACTTACGCGAGTGGCAGGTCTTTCCTTTCCACCCGTTTTTACAGTCACAGTAAAAGTCATTGACAAGGTCACGACACGAGCCCCCGTTGTGGCAAGGATTCTGGCTGCAGTCATTAATATCTAGGATCAAAGAGGAGATGCCCAGCTCAAGAAGCTTCCGGAACTGTTCACGGCATGTAAGAGCCGCACCCTTCCTAAGGCCACCTCCACCCCACGGTCCAAGACCAGCTGAGCAATCCCAGGACTTCAACCCCTTCAGTCTTCAGGAGTAAAGGAACCCTCAATCGGGTTATTTGTGACACCCCAAGGTGGCAGGACAGGGACAGGCCTCTGGCGCTCCCATGGAAGTTAACGTCAGGACAGGCACAAATTACGATCACAACAAAAAGAGGACTACTTTCTCTGCACGCGGGGCTCTTTATCCTAATTACAGCCTGCTGCCACAGCTCCTGGGCAGAAGCTCCTCCCCCTGGCTGTCCTCGGCATTCGCACGTACTAACAGGACGCAGGCACTGCCGTCCCATGCCAAGAACGGTTGGGGTCTCACGGTCTCATTCCCATTAAAAAAAAGACAAGCCTCCCATGAGGATTCTCTCCCCGCACCCCCCCCCCACCCCCCCCCCCCCCCCCCCCCCCCCGCCCCCACCAGCATCCCAGAGCTGTCTGGCCCAGAAAGAGCACACACTCACTGGTTTCGCAGTAGGCCCCCTCCCAGCCGTCACTACAGATGCACTTGTAGGAGTTGACCCCATCGATGCAGGTGCCGCCATTTTTACAGGGGTTGCTCTCACAGTCGTTAATATCTGTGAAATGAAGACACAAAAGCTGGTGAATAAAGGACACCCAATGCCATAGCCAGGCACTGGTCCCAAGGCCACCTCCTGAGAAAATGAGGGGCCAGGGGGCACCTCAACACTCTCCGTTAGGACCCTTTCTCAAATTCAACAGGCAGCTTATCAGGCAGAAGCCTCCAGAGGATGCCTTGTCTGTTTTATTTAATGCCTTGTAGGCTAAGCTACTTGGTGGGAGTGGGGAAAAAAACTCCTACAGAAAAGCAGGACCACCCAAACTAGTAAGATTCCAGAACATAAGCGTGCCGAAGGGTCAAAGTGTCAGTGATCTCGTAACTTAACACAATTCAGTCTCAGGTCCGAGCTGCAATGGTAAGCCTTCACTGGTCTCTGACTGAAATGACTCAAGCTCAGACGAGCTGGGCAGAGGCGGGGGGGAGGGGTGCACCCAGCCCCATTCCCCGAAGAGGGGTCTTACTTTCATGGCAGTACGTTCCAGTGAAGCCTTTGTTACAGTCACAGGTGAATTTGCCTCCCGACTGACTCTTGCACTTCCCGTGGGGACCACAGACGTTCGAGGAAATATACCGCACCCCCTCGGGCGTGTCGTTGGAAGCCATGGCCACTGTGCAGCTGTCAATCACTAGAAGACAGACGCGGGATCAGATCACGGCCACGGACCCCTAAGACACGGCATTCCTAAGCCAAGGACCTATGCCAAGCTTGCTTTCCTAGAGACAGGCACCCTTTGGCTAAGGAAGGTAAGAAATCAAGAGGCACCTCGGGGGCCAAGACTCAGACAGTGGGCCACATCACACTGTGACAGGCCAAGCTGAGACTCCAGGTAGACAGAAGTTTTCTTTTTTTCCAGGCATTTTCCCCCTGGGTGGCTAAGAAGCCTGCGTGTCTGTGGGCCCCTCTCCTCCTCCCTGTGACATCTCAGTCGGCAGAAGCTTGCTAAAGGAAGCAGGACCAGCTATACTCTCTACGTAATCAGACTTAAGCAGGCGGGAAGGCGGGAAGGACACAGAACCTGTAAAGCCACGTCACCTAACAACATCCATGAGACACGTGTGGCTCTTTGATTTAAATGAATTGAAATTAAGTCAAGTCACCCTTTCTCGTCGTACCAGTCACACTGAATGCTTCTGTGGCTACCATACCCGACAGCGCAGAGAGCAGACATTTCCACGGCTGCAGAAGGTTCTGGCAGCACTGCTCTGAGGAATGTCTCAGTGGTGCACATCAGCCCACCCCAGATGAGGCATGCTCTCCCCCAGGCTATGTGTGCACATGGTTCTCCCACCAGCGGGCCTGAAGAGATGGCTTCCACATGCTCTGGCTTCCCTCAGCGGTCAGGTTAGGGGCCTTCAGTCTCACCCACACGGCTTCTGAGAATATCGAGGGGGCAGTGGCACCTGGGGCAAGAGGAAGGCGCCTTGGAGGCCAGCCTGAACGGCAGGTGGGGGAGATACCTTCACAGGGGGTCGTGCGGCAGTGGTCTTTAAGGTGGGAGCAGTTCTTGCCCTCGTAGTCCTCGGGACACTTGCAGAAATAGTCACTGGCACGGTTGTAGCACTGGGCGCCATTCTGGCAGGGGTTGGGCTCGCAGTAATCTATGTCCAGCTGCAAGGAGCAGGGAAGGGGGAAAGGAAACAGAGGTGTGACTCGAACTGCTCTGGGGGCAGGAGACACTGGAATTGGACCCCTTCACCTCCTGCCATCAGGAGAACACCCTACATAATACACAGTTATGTCCTGGAGACCGTCCAGGGACACATGGGCAAAACAGGGCAGAGCGGGAGACGCTCGGAGCCGGGGGCACAGAGTCAAATCGACAAGCTGCTGACACTATGAGGAAAACCACTCCTTGCTGTCCTTCCACCTGCATTCACCTAGCAGCAGTCCCTGGTCCCTGGATGTTAACAGACTTTCATGGTGACTCCACAGAGTCAGGAGGGGACGGGGGTGGGGGGAGGGAGGGGGAGGTGGGGGGCAAGAGAAGGGGGAAGAGGGGGCTCTGCTGTAGAAACTTGGCCTTTGGACGTTCTAGCACCGCTCACCTGACAGAGGTTTCCAGAGAAACCAGTGGGACACAGACACTGGAATCTGTTGATTTCATTCTGACAGTGACCCCCATTCAAACAGGGGTTGCTGGCGCATTCATCGATGTCCCTCTCACAGTGATCGCCTGCATAGCCAGGTGGACAGATACAGCGATAACCGTTAACCAAATCCTGCAAGAGGGGAAGGAAGGGGGGAGAAACACATGCTTTTGTCTCTGCGCTCCACAAACACAGGGCTGCGACAGTCCAGCAGGACTGCCGGGGTTCCGCTGATCCACTGAAATCGCTCAGTGCCCAGCCTCTCGAGAAATGTGTGAGAGGAGTTCCCAAGTGCATGCCTCTGGGACGGCTCCCAGGAGGCTGGGGGGCGGTTCACAGGAGCCCAAGTGAAACTTCCAGAGAATCACTTTCCACCTGCATTTTTTTAATCTCAGAGGGACAGAGCCCTCCCAGGGTCGCATACACAGATTCATGTCAATCAGTAAGGTTTTCATTTTAAGCGAAGATTTACATACCCGACAGGAGGCGTCATTCTGACACTGGCCAAGGCAGTCATTAATATCTGAAAAATAAACAAGTCATCATATTAAAGAGGCAATTTACCTTGAAATTGGGCTTAATTGAAAAGCGTTCTCCACTCAGGACAGATAAAAGCCTCAAATCAGATTTCCTGTGTGCTTCCCCTGACATAAGGTTATTACACTGGGTGGGACCCCTCCCTCATCCCACCAGACTGAGCGAGTGAAATTTCACAACATTGTTTTAGCCACCTTATCAGTATATGGCTGTTTTACCGGCTAATGAGCCTGATAAAGTGCCATGTTTTCATTTCTGCACCGATCACTCCCTCTCCAAAAACACTGCCTCTCTGAGGTTTTCCTTTTACCACTCAAGTCTTCGAGCTGGAGCTGAAGTACGGGCTGAGAAAACCTTCAATACCCAAGTTCCACAAAAATCAAAATCGAAACAAAGGTACTCACTTATGTCACAATTCTGACCCGTCCAGCCCGGGAGGCAATCACAGTAGTAGCTCGCAATCAGATTCTTACAGGATTTGGCATTTACGCAAGGTTTGGCCTCGCATTCATTTGCATCTGAAAGAAAATGTGGAGGGGCAGTGAGAAATGTAAATTTACCCCCACTTCCCACACATCCCCCCCCCCCCCCCACAAAATACCCTATCGATAGTTTCTCTGAACCAGGAGACATTTTAATAACCTAGCTAAATCACAGATACTAGGTTCCCACTACTTTGAACAGCTGATCCCTCTCCCTAGCCACTAGCCAATAAGGAATGCTAATTGATAACTTTCCGGCTGCTGGTTAACAACTGGCCCCCAACAGGAGAGCAGAAAGCCACCAGGCATTGCTGTGCGAAACTCGGTGCAGCCTAGTTGCTGGGATTTAAATGTGGCAGGAAGAATGCAGACAGCTCATTCCTCATGAGACCATCCCCGTTTGGAACCCAGCTGAACACTCCTCGGACAGACGATTGACATGGTTCAAGGAATCCCACGACTTTCCCACAGGGCCTAAAAGAGCTAGGCCATTTGTATTCGAGTTCTCTCTCCCAGGCCCGCTGGACTCTTGACAATAAATTACTTTTTAGTAGGATGGTGTGCAAACTCACACCACTAGCCACATGCTCATCTTCCCTAACAGCTCGGATCATCAAAGCCAACCTCGGTGCAGGAATTTCCTTACCTAACTGGCACGTTTTGCCAGTCCACTGGGGTGGGCACACGCACTTGAATCCATTAACCAAGTCCTGGCAGGTGCCCCCGTGGGAACAGTTATTTGGAGAACAGTCATCAATGTCTGTTGGACAAAAGGGAAAAGGGCTGGCAATTTAATCTCTGTCCGTTTGACAATTAGATAATTTAATGCCAACCCTCACATGAGGGGCCTTCACTTAAGGGCCAGACACCTGCTGTAAGTGACTGCTCTGACGATAAGGCCTGATTTTAGCTTTAAATCCTCCGCTGCCCCAGTTCATTTAATCCCCGACCTAAGCAGCAGGGAAAGCCAGCTGGATCCCCAGAGCATCGACCCACTGGTAACATGGGACATCTTGCTCTGCCTACTCTATTTTTTAAAAGAAAAGTTTCCGCATGGCTCAGGAGTAGCTAAAGAGGTAAGGAAAAATAAGTCTTCTTTACTGGTAGAAAACTTCATCTCATTTGCTCACAGTTTTCCCCAAATTACATAGCTGGGGTCCCCACCCCCGCACGGGACTAGAGTGGCCTCTTCATTCATCTGCTGCCCACTTACAAAGGATCAGGCTCTCTCTGTGAATCTGCTCGTGGGTTCTTCACAACCGTAGGGGATGGCAATTGCTCCTGCCCCGTCTAAACAGGGCCCGGGGAGGTAAAGACCAGTCCCCCAAGAGGCAGGCAGGGCGACAGTACCAGCCCTGGTGCCCCGACCCCGGAACCCACATTCTTCACCAGGCATGCTGCTCTCAGGGTGCTGCCGACAGTGGTCCCCAGGCCCGCCTGCACCTCAGAAGCCCAGGTGCTTGTTACAGAATGTGTACTCCCCAATCCCGAAGGGAGCCTGTGGGGACCCCACATCTGCACTGTCCAGCACCCCGGTGGTTCTGACGTGCAGCCAGGCCTCGCAGCCATGACAACTCCCTAGCCTAGGTCCCTCTTTCGGGGCCACCTACACCCCTGACCAAATTCAGGAGTGACCACCTCCCCTGCGGGCAGCCGAGTCTCCATGGCGGCCAGGAGAAGAACTAGGACTCGATTCCACGGAGGCAGAGCTCCAGGGAGCACACAAAAAGCACGCAAGAGGGACGGGGGTGTCCCACGGAGAAGCTTCTCCCAGTAGCCACCACACGTACTAACTTAGCACGGTAGGGGGAGCGCACCCGGAGACTTCCAGTGTAAAGGCTGGAAGCCCAAGCCAGACCCACCCGACACCCTTCCCATCAAGACAGACCCATCACGGAGACCTGACACCGAACCCGGCCCAGGTCCCCGCCCCCACCCCAACACTCGACACAGTGATCCTCTGGAAAAGACCCAGGCCAAAGCCCAGACTTACTTGTGGAACACGTGGGGCCCGTCCAGCCGGGAGAACACTCACACTCAAATCCCAGTGAGGTCTCCCTGCAGCTGCCTCTGTTGTGGCAGGGGTCAGACAGGCAGGCGTGCTCCGCTGCGAAAAACCAGGAGGGTAGTCAGCAAGGGACTCCCGCTTGTGGCTACCTATGTCTTCTCCCCGCAGCCAAGTCCCAACGCCTGGGCCACCACCAGCTCAAGCTCGCTTCGATAAAATGAAAGCAAGCATGTGCTATAACCCTGCCGCGTCTAGGGAAGACAGGAAGGCCTCTTTCGCACCGAGCGTCTCCCGCCACATTCCAGGGCATCGCCGAGCCCGGGTCACCGCGCGGCAAACACCCCACCCCCCACGCTAGGCAGCATCGCCGGAGAGCCTCGCGCTGCTTGAAGGAAGCCTCGAAGACCCACAGAACTGCTGGGATGGCAAGTCTTCACTCTGGAGGCTATTTTCATCGTTTTACGAATTCTTAAGGGTGTTATTTTTTAAGCTGAGCATACCCAAAAATTAAACGAAGGGCTCTCGGTCTGCCTGGACCACTTACCGATTTCACAGTTGGATCCTGAGTAGCCCTCAGGGCAGGAACACTGATACTTGTCGGGACCCGTGTTGCTGCAGGTTCCCCCATTGAGACAGGGCTGGCGGGTCCCACAGTAGTTGAGATCTGCCAGAGACCCCGGGACAGCGGTGGCTCAGAGTGGATGGTATAGGCTGCCGAGCTGCCGTGTTCCCAGCGCTGCCCCCACCCCGCCCCCACCAACCAGAAAAAAAGATCCCAAACCACGGCGTGAAAGGCAAACTCTTAACAGATTCAGAATGAATCTACAAATAAAAATAAAAAGAAAAAAGCCAATTACGGCCGCCCCACCCCTTAAGGTCTCAGGCGTCTCCCACAGCCCCTGTCCTGCCCCAAGGTCCAGTCCCCGAGGTGCGTACCTTTGTCGCAGAGCTGGCCGCCCCAGTTGGTCTCACAGAGGCACTGCCAGGGCTCGTTACAGGTGCCATGGACGCACCCAGGGTGCGGGATGCACTTGTCACAGTACAGGCCTTGCCAGCCATACTGGCACCTGGGGGGGACAGACAGCACACCCCCCCCTTTAGTCCTTACAACATTCGGGGAGATCTGTGCCCTTTAAATGCAAGGCTAAGGAGCTCAGGCCTTTCTGGTCTTGTTTCGTTTTCGGTGACAGGACAGTCAGACTTGCAAGGTTTGTGCGGGGGCTCCGTCTAAACAAACATTTTCGGTGGTTGGGCCGAGGTCCCCTCCCAGGCAACTCGCGACAAAAGCAGGGCTGTCTGGGGAGAGGCCAGCGGGGGCTGCCCTCACAAAGCCACTCTCTTCTCAGGCTCACAGGGCTGGGCGAGGGTGGGGGCGTGGAATAAATCAGTTCAGGGCCCAGCCGGCTACGGAGGCCACGGAAGGACTCTCGGGTGACAATAGCCATGTGACAGTCTTCGCAAAGGCGGCCTGGCTCTTTGTCTAAACAGCAAGTCACGACCCCAGTGCTCAAAAAAATGCAACAAGACACCCAGGGCGGCAGGAAGCCGCCTCCCGATGAATCAAACGAGGGAGGGGAAGGGGGCACCCTCCTCTGGCAAAGAGGCGGTGAAGATCTCGGAACCCACTTCTGCAGGAGAGTGAGGGAAGCCACGGCACTTGGAACCAATCCCATAGATAATTTATGACCCACTACCGGGGCTGCTTATGCTAATTCATTTTATAGTTATTTCTCACTTTGGCAGGGGAAGGTCAACTCGGTTTATCTAGTATCGGGGAACAGAGTCGAGGTTCCTTTATAAGCGCCTCATTAATCGGATTCTTTTGAGGCCAAATGGTGCCTCTGATCCCCAAACAAAAACACAAACATAAACCTTCACCTGGGGTGGGTGAGAGGGCAGAGCCTCTGCCACCCTCCCCTCAAGTTTCAAGCCCTGGGAAACTCTAACTGCCCTCTCAAAACTCGAGCTTTGACAAACAGGAGAAAGCCCGGGGATGGTGGGGGTGAGCCTGGAACAGGGATGGGCAGAGCATTTCTAGAACAGGACCTGGGAAAAGCCACAGTGAGAACCACCAGCACCCTCCCCCAGCCCGAGCCACTCAGCTGTAATGCTGGAAAACAAGCACCCTCAAGAAGGGAAGGCTTTCCGTTTCCAGGGAGCCAGAGGCAGGCTAGCAAATCCTTATCCTGGGAAAATTATAGGGATCCAGCTAATAGCTAATCACCCACGGCCAAGAGTCAACTTAACCCCTGAGAACACTGACTAACCACTTCCTAACTTCCACAAACAAGCCATCCACACCCCAATTCAAAGAACCCCCAGAATGCGTGGTTTAAACTGAATCAGACAGAGGGTTCGGCTTTATGTAAAACAGAACAGCAGCCTAAATGACCATGACCATTCAGAGCAGTAAGGAAAAAAAAATTTTCTACCAGATTTTTTTTTAAATAGTGGGGCTACCCAAGTTAGTGGGACTTGGGGGAGGGGGTTTCATTCAGTAAAAGATTATCTTAGCTTGAAAGCTATTAAGAGGGAACTGATTTGGAAATAGCAGTATTCTTACTGTGTTCTCTAATTCCCTTCCAAATTATGGATGGCTACACCTCTTCAACTTGCCTAATAAAAGCAAGAAAAGGCAGCTGAGGACCCAACCTCACCTCTTAATTAATGAGAGCTGGATCCCCAAGCATAAAGAAGAAACCACAAGAGGCCATGGATGACTTCAAAAGAAAACAAATAAAAATACTGACCCTAAAAGAGGCATCCACAAAGTTATCCCAGTTTAATAATGTATGATTAAGGTTCTCATGAGAATTTGAAGTGACTTTCCTCATACGATGATTCATCATTAAGTTTGATATTATTGGCAGGCTTGCAATAAAGCAAGCATGTGCACCCAGGAGAAGGAATCTAAGTCTACTTGGGAACAACAAAACCAGTGAAGTTTTCTCATGTGGGATCTTAAAAAAAAAAAAAAAAACAAAAAAAAAAAAACCCTGCCTCTGTAATACATAATCCATAAGACAACTTACAGGTAACTCGCCATTCAACTATTTCTGGAGCAGGACACAACCTGAACTTCCTCGGCTAGGAGGTTCTGTTTTGATTTTCTTTCAAGGTAGGCAGAACAAGATGGGCTGGGAGACTATGCAAATGACGTGTGGGAAAATCGCACCTTAAGTAAATAAGGGCACCGGTGCGTGTCTGGGCAGGGAGTGGGAGGGGAGACTTCGAAAGAGAAAGGGCTAAATTCTGGAAACAAAGCCTGCTGTTCTGGCTGGGAGGGCCCTCCCCTGCGCAGTGGCCTGCCCATTCTGATGACAGTAGCAGAAATCGCGGTCGGCCAACACTGATATTCATCTGAGCGGGGAGCAGGCCCAGAGTCGCTAATAATACTGCCGATCTGACATTCTCTAGAACACCCTTAATTAAGAAGGGTGAAGGTAGGTGGATTCCTGCTCGAACTTTGACAGCAATGCTGTCAAATACGACGCTCAGTGGCCACCAATGGGGCTTAGTAGGCAAACCCCCACAGCCTTCCAGAAAATAAACTTCTCTCTCAAGTGGAGGAAGAGACCATTCCAGGTCACCCTGGTTTTATTTTACTTCCAGCTGCCTTAGTTCTTAGTTCTTCAGTGTCAGGCCTCAGAGCTCAGTGCCCCCCACTGCACAGGAGGGGAACAGATGCGGTGGTGGAGACACAAAGTAAAGACCCCAGAGAATTCTCTGTAAAGCAGCAGTCCTCCAGATACAAGGAGCAGCACGACTCTTTGGTGGGCTCGCCAAAATGCAGATTCCTGGGCCAAACCCTGGCCTGGGTTTCAGTGGGTGTGGGGTGGCACCCAAGAATCTGCATTTCGACAGCTCCTCTGTTAAATCGGGGAATTACCGACGTGGGCACTGAGGTTTGGGGCAGCGATTCCCAAAGCATGGTCTCACCAGCAAGAGTGGCGTCACCGGGGGGCTCGTTAGCAATGCAGAGACTCGGGCCCACCCCGACCTGTGGACTCAGGCTCTGCATCTTAAGAGCTCCAGGTGATGTGAGTTTGAGATGCACCGGTTTAGACGGTTTTGTAGGCCTCCTGTGGCTCAAACCAGGGTGGCTTCTGGGGCACAAGCGATAGCCCCAAGGAGCCTTTCAGTGTCACACTAGATCTGCTAATCCTTCAGATCTGGGAGGAGGGAGAGTAAAGTGTGAGACTGTGTCAGAATGCCATGGACACCAACGCCGTTTCCTGAAACAAGCCTTTCCCAAATGGGCATAATGTACGTTTCAAGAAGGTTCCAAAAACTGTAATCATGAAGCAGTCGGGGTGGGTCTCTGGCTTCTGCATTGTCCGGGACCATAAAAGACCAGACTTCAAAGGCCAGCAGCAAAAGTCTACATTCATCAGGCTCAACTGACAAGATTCCAGCGCAGCCATTAACCTCTCAGCACCGGCCGGCTCCCGCCTGCAAAGGGGCCAGGAGATTGTACTAATCCCATTCTAAAGAATGCTCCGCTGTCCCCTAGTGATGGGAAAAGTGGGGGAGGGCTGGGAGACGGAAAACCAGGTTGGGAGAGGAGACAGACTCAAAGAAACCCACATCCCTCCATCTCATCCATTAGCACTTTAAGGGGAAGATTACAAAAACGTGTTATCAATTTACAGAACAGTTAATACATGATGTCACCGACTATGCCCATAAGAGTTTTTTCTCTTCCAAGAGAGAAGTGCGCACATTCCACCAGACAGCTGGTATAATTTAATAAGCTTTGGATGTGCCTATTTAGATTTTTTTAAGCTTTCTTGTCCTCCAAAGAGGCATATTCACAATAAATTCAGTCCCCCTCTTGCATTAAAGAATTAAAAAAAAAAAAGTTTAGTCATTTACCTGCAGTCACCTGGGAGTTTGCAAGACCCATGCTTGGGACTACAGCCCTGTCGGCAAATAGCTGTAAAAACAAAACAAAACAAAACACAAACACACAGATGAGTCAAGCACACTGTTTCTTGCACCACCACCATCATGAGAATGGCCTAGCACATTAAGCCTACAAAATCCACAACTTTCAGAGATCTCATGACAAGTCCATTGTAAGGAGAGGAAGATGGGAGGTGCCCAAACAGCAAATCCAGCTTTAAACTTCAAGGCCATGCTAGCAGATCTTCAAAACATGATACTACTCAGGGACAAAATGCAGGCAAGTCGATGGAAGGGGCGGGGGGGTTCTTCATCCAGTCTCTCTCAACAATAGCTACCCTGCTCCCTGTCAATTCCCACCCTCTCCAAAAGAACAGAAGCTGTGATCCTTCCTCATCTCAACCGCTCTGTCCCATGAGGGGCACATTCAGAGGAGTCCCAGCCTCCTTAACCCCCACACCCCCACCCCCTAAAAACGCCTGATGGCTCAAAAATCCCATGGGACTAACAAAGCCAAGCGGGCTGACTTTATTTGGCAGGCTAAATCCGGAGGCCAGATCGGGTGGTACTTTTGCAAAGTATCCTCACAAAGCAATTCCGCTTCATTTAAAAAAAAAAAATTTTTTTTTGAACAGATGGTAAAAAAATACTAAACATGGTTTTTAAGTAATTGTTTCTGATTTTTAGAACACCAACTACTTTAAGTATGTTTGCCAATTCTTTCATTTGGATCCCAGAAATGCCATCCTTTTAAAACTCTAGTGATTTAAGAAAAGCTCAGGAGACCTGCAAATTCCTCTTTGTCCTGCCCTTCAGTCACAATTCAAAAACTCCCTTTTTAATTTGAGTGCATCCTGAAGGAATTTACCAAATTAGGTGAAATAAGCAGAGTACAGTCATGTTTGGAGGGCCTACTCTGGTCAACGAGAACTACCCATTTACTAAGAATTAAAAGCTTTGTAAAGGTACAAACTACAGATGATGCTGTGAACATCTGTGACTATGCAGTGAAGTCCCCGAATCCCAGAAGGGCTGGGACAGTGGACAGCACATCTGCAAGCTTACACTGCTGTCATGGGTCCACCTCTCCACGAGTCTGAAAGCCCGGGTTCACCACTCAGCCCTTCACCTTCAATGCCACGGCCCCCGAGATGCCCCGTGAAAGCTCACCACAGGCCACACTGAGCTCAGGGGTGTCATTTCCTACAGGATCACAAGTTCAGGAGCAGAGCTAACCCTGTCCCATTTGGCATCTGTTTTGGGTCAGGTTCCTCAGAAGCAGAGCCCGAGACCAGGATCTGGGTATAGGAGAAGGGGGCTGAAGGCAGCAGATGGAGCAGGGGAAGGAGCCAAGCAGGGGGTCTCAGCTGGAGTCTGGCTTCCACTTGATCCCAGGGGAAGCCCTGGAGTGTGAACTGTAGCACGGAGTGCAAGAAGGTGGCGAGGGGGGCTGGCCTTTGTACCCCCATCCAGTCATTCACAGTCTGTGAATGGGAGTCCAGCTTTATGACTGAAAGAGGCATGGAGTGGCTGTTTGGCCAAGGCCAACGCTCTAGAGAAGGAACAGCTGTGAGCTGTTAGCAGCCAACACGGGGGGTGGGTTGGGGGGACACCAACAGCATCTTTGTGCCTCAGGCCTAGAAAAACAGCCCAAACATCTCTCCCTCCCCCCACCTGAGACAGCCACTTGGCTGGGTGGGGACAGAACTGGACCCCAACGGCGACAGCCCCTCAGAGCTGGTAATAACCCAGCCAGCACAGGCCCACGCACCTCTGTTACACTCCGGGCCCATCCAGCCCTCCATGCACGTTTTGTTGCCATTCAGATCGCAGGCATAGTGTCCAAAGAAGTCATCTCGGGGTCGGCAGAACTTATTGCAGCCAAAGCCGTAGTAATAGTCATCACAGGTGACACGGATCTGATACTCAAAGTGGGCAACCCCTGTGTTCTGCTTCAGCGTTTGCCACTGCCTGCTGGGGTTTATCATGCCCGAGTGGGAAGCCTTCTCAATAATGCTGTCAGGCTCTAGAGGCAAAAAAATAAATAAATAAAAATTGAAAAGCATTGACTGCACTGACTTCTCCCCTGGCCATTTTGCCTATTTTACATAACGAAAACAAAGGCACGTGGTACAAAATGCAAACAGTATTCAAAGGGGCAGAAAAGTGCAAAGTCTGTCCCCCTCCCCACATTTATTTACCCTTGTTAATGGGTGCGTAGTATTTCCCTGTCCAGGAATACAGTGAAATACGTTCACACCTAGTTCCTGACAAAGGTGCATGTAGGTTGTTTTGACATTTTACAGGTCAGCCAAGCCACAACGAACATCCTTGAACCCATCAGCCCGTGTGTGTGGTTCTAGCAGTAAAAGACCTTCTAGAAACGTAAGTGCACCCAATCCACATCCGTCCACAGCCAACCATGAACTACTGCGAACGAAGCCCCATCAGCCTGTTGTTCCACCTGCACAGGAAACTGGGTTTCTCGACAGCAATGCCAACACAGTATAGATTATCCAACTTTCTGATCTCTGCCTGATAGGTAAAGAAGTAGCTCTTACTTTAATTAGCATTTAATTAAGGGATGGTGAGCACCCTTCCACGTGGTTACCAAGCCATCTGCAGCTGTTCCTGCGAACTGTGACCTGTTTCTTTCCTTTGCCAAGTGTTCTATTGCACTGCTGGGCATTTGCAAAAGCTCTTTACATATTATAGAAAGCACCTGATTCCAGGTAAAGGTTAGCAAGCCTGCCCTTCTGGTTTTTAGAGTCTCGGATCTTGATTTAGAAAGACTTGGTCTACCTTCCAAACTCTTCACTAGAAGCCAAGGGGTAGAGTTAGATTTTTAAAAAATGATAAACTTTGCCACCTTGTCAGCAACTGGCCCTTGTGCCACGGACTTGAAGCATCTCACCTTTCACCTTTGCCCAGAAGGCAGAGGGGGAAAGGGACGCACCCCAGTTTAGAGACAGGTAGCTTGGGGGTTTTTCTGAGCCAAGTCATGCTCCTGAAAAGGCGCCTATTGGAAATGAACACGCCCAGAGCTCGGGCAGCCAGCTCTCACGAGGAGCAAGGAGTGGTCCTGCCCCCAGGTCACTTATCATCTAGTCTGAAAGAACAGCCAGGTACCAGGTGCCAGGAGTCCAGGGGAGGGACGTAAAAAGGAAGCGAGGCACGGAGTCACACCGCAGCCTGATGTGGGGTTTTGTTTTCTTAAACCTGCTGGCACCAACCCTTCACCACCTTGTCAGACGCGAGGCCACCTCGGAGAGCCCTGTATTAGGACCTACTCGCAACGTCTGTGGTTCTTACCCACCCACGCCCCTGTTGTTCTAGGCCCAAGGCCTGCGCTCATTTACAAGGTTATGCAAAGCCAACAGGTGACCAGAGAGGAGGAGCTGAGGGGCTCCTTCCACACGACTTCCAGCTTTGCCCTAGTGTTCACCCTCTGGCTTTAACTGTTGTGTGGGCAGGACAAGCCTTGAACAAGCCCACATACCTGCAGACTCACACCCCAGCACACACAGAACCACTTGCAGATAAGGCTTCACTAACATGAAGTTTTACAAATAAACACAGGCCGAAGAATGACAAAAATGTCCCTCCGTTAACTGTGTGTTTGCTCTGCCGGTTCAATTAAAAAGTGAAGCGAGCCATTACCATGTGATTACGAGACCTTAATAAAGGAATTATTTAAACACATGGCTCAAAGGCCTCCAGCATCTCTGGGGCAGGTAGCAGCCACAAACAACTCAGCCGAGAGTCCGGGGCAGTCCTAAAGGCACAGGCTGAAGGGTCTTTTTCAGTAGTTCCGTAGGCTTTCCACCCAGGTCTAGAAAATATGCAAACGATCATTCTGGAATCCTCCATGTGGCTAACAGATCAGGAGAGCTAACTTTGCAGCTGTGGGGCAGGTTTCTCCCAGCAGGGCCAGAGGCAGGGAGTTGGGGGTGTGCGACATGCTCTCTGGCATCTGGGTTATAGAGATGTCTGCTGCCTGCTTCTTCCAAGCTGCTGCCCCTGAATCACACTTCCTCTCAGCTTGGGGCATAGAGGTGCAACCGGGGGCGGGGGGGGGGGGGGGGGGGAGGGGGATAGTTCACTTGGGAGTCCAGCTTTATGACTGAAAGAGGCTGTTAGCAGACCCTCCTGTGATCTTCAACTGTGTGAAGATGGAGCACAAAGCCCCCACCACAGCCTCGCAGGCCAAGGTGGAGGTAATGAGGCAAGTCAGAGCACAACCCCGGGGCCACACCAACCCACAAACCTAGGACGGGAACATCGTCAAGATGGCTAAGCTAGGAGGAAAACCTGGTCTGAGTAAGCTTATTTGTGTTGACGTATCTCCAGAGCAGTCCCATAAACTGAAATCATTTGCACTGGGGGAGACCGAAATATTTGTACCCTTATCTAGTGCAGCTCTGAAACAGAAGAGAAAGGATCTCAGAGGACGGACGCCAGGAGGGCCAGCCTTAGACAATACTCTAACACACAAACAGTACCTGCGCTTCCTCTGGGCCAGCCTCTCTCTGCAGAGCCCAAGTGAGAAGGAATTCTCCGTCCTAAAACTCAGGGCTCGGCCTCTAAGCAGAAGCCAGGATTTCGGCAACTTGTTCGGCCCCCAAAGAGCAGCCAACTCCATCTGGGTTGCTCCACATCCTTGGCCTTTGCCCTCATGGAGTACCAGTCCCATGGGAGGGACAGAGGGTAAAGAGAGTAATAAGCAAAACATTCCAGGCAGTGCAAACAGCATATGCAAGGGCCCTGCGGCAGGACAGAATGAGAGGATGCATCGGAGGACAGAACGGTGACTGGTGGCATAGGACCAGAATCCGGATATGGTAGAGGACAACATGGGACAGAGTTAGCAGGGAGACAAGACGGCTGTGCAAGGCCTTTTGGGCCACACGAAGAGCTGTCCCAAGAGCCACAGGAAGCAGCCAAGTGGCTCTTAGTGAAGCTAACCACCAAATCGAATCAAGATGTACACCAGAAACTAACAGAGGACACTGTAGGTCAATCCTATTTACATTAAAAAAGAAAAAAAATGCCCTGGAATGGAGGATGGAGAGGCAGGAGGATAGAGAACGCGGTGGAAGTGGGCCAGAGTGGATACGGATGGACTAATTCGGCCACCACCATAGGAGCTCAGGCATCAGCAGAGGGTGACCTGGACCAGCATAGTGGCAGGTGACATGGCAGGACGTGGCAGGACTCCAGTGCGGCACTGAAGATTTTTCAGAACCTGGAGGTGGATTCGATATGGATGCTCAAAGAAAGGGAGGTACAACAGGGTGTCCTCCAGATTTCTGGCTCATGGTACTAGGTGGAAATGCTGCTGCCAGTCATCCATGAAGGGCCCTAGGCAGGATCTCGTTTGGAGAGAGAAGATGCCAAATACGGTTCTGAACGTGAATTCAAAATCCTTTGGAAGCACTGTAAAAAGAGAGGCTGAATAAGCCAGTGGCTTATCCACTCCTCTTTGGGGTTCACTAAGTGAGCTTTAGTGACGTGCAGTAGGGCATTCCAGGACTTTGGGCCAACTCCTCTCTTTAAGAGTAGAGGTCTGAAAACTCCTTCTCCCTACATCAAGTCTTCCTTGTGCCCTTCCAGTGACCTGGTGGCCCCCTCCCCAGCAAGGAAATGCCCCCAAACCCCAAAACATGGCTACCCTGAAATGCAGACCGCCGTAGGCAGCTCTGGAGACGCACCAGCTTCCCAGGGGCACAGCTACCTGACCTGTGGGGTGAGGGAAGGCCCAGGAAGGGCCCTGCAGGGGCTAGGTGTCCCGCATGCCCTAACAGGTGTCCTGAATCAGCTCTTGCCACAAGCCAGGATCCATCTCAAGGACGTTCACTCTACCAGACTCTTAACATCTCAGCAGGAAGGGAAGGAGAAGCCACTTTGGCACCAGAGTACCTGATGAGTCTATTTCCGCCCCATACCTACCCCCCATTTTCCCAATGCTTAGTTACCATTGTAACCAGGTCACAGTGACACCAGGCTCACACAATCTCCAATGTTTGTAGCAGGGGAGGGAGGAGAGAACACACAGGTGTCTGTGACCCTGACTGGCATTGGCCACAACCACCGCTGGTTACCCCCCTCCCCTCCCACCACACCACAGCCGGACTGGGGATCCCCCTCAGAGAGGAAGTCCACAGATCTGGGCTTCGATGATGTCGAAGCAAGAGGAGGGACCCAAATGGCCTGCAGCCTCAGGCTCACCCGGGCTCAGCAATAATTACGTGGCCCTGGGGGGCCCCAATGAGTCAGACTCAGCCTGAAGCAGCCTGCCTCACAAGTACCAAGCCCTCACTAGGCCCACTCTGGGCACTCGCCATTCTCAGATCTGCTTGAAAAAAAGAAGGCATGGTGAGAAAACAAGGGGAAATGTTATCAGCAGCAAAAACAAAGAAAGGGTAAGGTAGAGAAGCCAAAGGAAGGAGACATTCAGAGAAGGTAGGGCAAGGACAAAGAGTTGGATCACCCCTTCCTCCTACGCAGACTAAGGGATTTCAGCATGAATCAAGTTTTCCCAGGACAACCCTCCAGATCCTGCCAGCAAAAAGGAAGCGCACAGTCTCCACACGTGAGGGAAATCGTCTTTAAGTCACATTTAAAGAGCAAAGACTACCCCGTGTAAGCCAGGCTACTGCCATGTTCAGACATACCCTCTGTGACTTCCCCACCAAAAGCCACCCCTCACAGCCCTGAAAAGCAACCTGCCCTGAAACAGTCCTCTTTCAGAAGGGGCCGAGGCAGCCATGTGAGGCTCTGGGATTCCACTTCAATGAAAGGTGGGTCATGCCCGGTGTGGGAAAGAAACCCCGACTGACCGGCTAGAAGCTCACCTGCCCACCAAGTGAAACTCAAGGTCGGTCTTTAGATTTAGAGCCCAGCTCCACCTTTGCGGGCTTTATCTTACTGATGAGAGATTAAACACTCACTTAAAGTTTAAATGGACTTTTTAAAAGTCACTACTTTGATCCTTTAGCAGCCTACAAGGTTTTAAAGTTGTAAAACCATTAAGATTGCTATCCCAAAGATAATCTAGGTCCCATATTCAGGAACTCAGTTAACTGGGACTCTGTCCCAGCCACTTAATATTCCAAGAGGACATTCTAGGGGAGGTTGTAGAAAGGACTCCATGGAGCAGTTTGCCCTGGGCTTGGGGGGGAGGGGAGGGGAGAGGAACGGGGTTGGTGCAGACAGCAGGGAGTGGTCCAAGTCCTCTGAAGCACTCAGGAGACAGATCCAGCTCCGACACTACCATACTCCAAGCACTGCGCTTCCAGAAAGACACACCTGGAGAAAAGCCCATTGCTGTGATACTTACGGAGAGTGTCGTTACTGGAATCCCACGCCTCCACAAGCAAAGTGTAGGACCTCTGCAACACAGAACGACAGCAGCTTAGTATCCAGAAATAGGGATCAGCTCCCAAATGTCCTACTTGCTTGGCCTCCCCTCATACCTCACCAAACAAAACCGTAAAGTCAAAATGAAAACTCTGTTTGCCGTGGAACTGAGATCCCTCCCCTCCCTGGCACCCACCCCCAGGCTGGCTCCTTCCACCTGGCGGGGGCCCACTGCAGGTCGGTCATCGTCCTCTTATGCAAGCAGCCCAAAGTCATGATCAGGAAATACCACCTCCCTATAGGTGAACACTCTACAGTTTTCCAAAACTTTCCAGACCCCTAACGCTACCACATGAGGAAAAAAAAAAAAAAAGAAAAAACCCACAAAGAATTTCTTCAAGCTAACCTAACCAGGTATTTGTATGGGGGGGGGCATCCAGGGAGGAGGGCCGGGTATTGCTAAGGTTACACTTTAGGCCCTGGTGGGGCAATCCCTAGGGAGGCCCCCTTTTCCTTTTCAGAACCCCTTTGAAAGCCCTGTCAGTGCGAGACCATCTCGGCTCCCACAAGTATCAGGTGACTCTAGGAAGCAGGGCGGGGGGGGGCAGGGGGGGAGAGGTAGGTGCAAAGAGACTAAGACAAAGGCAGCGACCCAACTTGGGGTGCTTGGGGGGCAGACTCTGGGGACGAAATTACAAAAGGGAGAAATAACAGCACACCCATGGGTTATAGCTATTGATGGACTTATCTGTCAATAAGATCTAACATTCCAGGAATAATCAGAGTCCACTAACTAAACAAATTCCCTGGACACTGGCAGGATGCCAGCTATTATACTGAAGGCACCTTTTATCTTCTAGGCTTATCTCGGAATTCTACCCCCCCCCCATCCAAGCCATTAGCAAATTCCCGCTTTTACTCAAATCTTCATTTGTAATTTAGAATGAGGTCAGTCTCACAAAACACCAGGGTTTAAATAAACCTGCTATCTTGGCGCTGGAGAATGATATCGGAGGGGGGTGGGGGAAAAAGGCCCTTCCTCCTCTGTATTCCTCTTGTCACAGACAGATACCAGCGCATCGGAAACAGCACATTGAGCACGTCGCTCAAATAATACCCTGCGCCAGAAACACCATTACCAAGAGAAGGCACCTACAAGGGGAGGCGAAAGTGGAGCAAAAGAAAAAAAAAAAAGGCGCTTCATTCATAACTCTAGGCAAGCTTACTGCTCACACAGACACAGCATGTTGTCTCTGAATATAAAAATATCTTGTGATAGACCCTGCCTTGGAATTCAGCCGAAATATGTTTCATACTCAAAGCAGAGCAGGATTCCATTTCGTTCACTGATAACTGTGGGAAAATGCTCAGAAAAGCAAGCAAAACCAGGCAAGCCGGGGCACATACCCAGCCCTCTCCTGTTTGGTGGCCCTGGGTCCAAATTCATTGTTGTCATCATTAATATTTTATTAGTAAAAGTTACACCTTATTTACAGCCTCTAAGTTTCCTGGGACTAACTACAAATTACAGGACTCTTCCCTGAGAGCAGCAAGAAATTACATTTCTCTATTGATTGGAGGGGAGAGCCAAGTCCAAATGAGGCCAGATGTGGGGCTGATTCTGTATAATTAAGCCCTTCGGTCGCTGGCCACGTCGAGACTCATGTTCTCTACTTCCACGTATTGTTGTAATTAATCCTCTGATTAAATGCATTGATACCCGTAGTTCCGACAGACTCGCACAAGTGCTCAACATGTCGTTGCCACAAACCCCGCAGAAGGGAAAGGCGTGCCAAGCCTGAGCTGGCATGACAGTATTAACTTTGCCTCAGGCTCAAAGGAGGAGGCATCCTTCCGTCCTTGCACAAGAGCCTGGAAGACCAAGCTGTGTCCCAGGCTCCTCCTCACCGGAGCTGGGAAGACCTCGGGAGGTGCTGACCAACACTGCCCAACCTTGAGGGAAAAGAGTCACGCAGAGCGGCACCAGAGCTCAGGGACACCAGGTGTCATGATGGTCCTTGAACTGCCTTCTCAGAGGTGGACGGGGGGGGGGTGAGGGCTGGGGGCTCCAGCACTGGCACCAAGGCCTTGCCAAAAATAAATAAGACGCTCTGGACTGTCTTGCTCTCCCTGGTTTCTGAGAAGGGCCGAAGGTTCTGGGCCTCACCTCCCGGGGCAGGAGGATTCCTCCCACCCAGCCTTCAGCAGATAGGATTCCCTCCAACGCCCCTATTAGGAGGCCCTCTTACTTCCCACTCCATCCCCACACTATAGATCAACAATCAAGATAATTTGGTAATGATTATTTGTTGCTAGGAACTTTAATTTTTCCCAGGCCCACGCTTGACCTCTGTACATCCCAGAATATACATCCAGACTTGGGCAATCCAGACCATGCACTTTATGTCATCATCTTAGGCCAGTACCAGGCTAAAAACCGGATGCAATCTGCTAGGATCATGTCACCCCCGATCTGTCACTGCAAATCTGACCCCCAGCAGAGGCCAAGCCCCTGGGCACCCCCCCAAGGGCTTGGAAAGAGGGTGCCAGGCCAGATGATGGGCAAGTGTCCAACTTAACAAGTTCATACAAAAATACCACCCGCAAGAAACAGAAATAGCAAATACCTGGATTTTTCTTGGTCTTACACTACAAAAGTAAGACTAGGAAAGTCCCCTTGCTTTCTTCTTTTTTCATAAATCTCCCCAGAACGATAGCGGGGGGCGGGGAGGGCAAAGCAGGAGGGAGGGGGTAGCTAACAGAACTTGGGTGTGGGTTTGCGTCTCCCCCTTCCCACACCTCCAGGCCCAGGGCAATCTGGCCACAGAGGCTGGTCCTCGTGCTCGGGGAGCAGAAAAGAGGAATGGCCAGCTCTCAGGACGACCTTCGGGGAGGACTGCTGTGGCCTTTTACCTAGAGGAGGGGCCTGGCCTCCAACTCCCCAGGCGTCCCAGGGCTGCGGCGGGTGGTGTCCTGCGCCCATCTGACTCCGCAGTGGTTACCTTGGCACCGGGCACAGGGCTAAGCACTTAATTGCCACATTAAGAAGGGGGATGTAAGAAACAAAGGTAATTGTGTTGGCAGCTGGGAACTTCCTTTTCCTGGCAACAGTGGCAGCCAAACCAAGCCCTGAGAAGAGGCTGCTTCCATTCCTGCCAAGCTGACGGACACAAACAAACCGCCATCCAAACGGCACGCGAGCAGCGTCCAAAACCCCAGGCCCTGCGCTGGGCGGCCGGGGAGCCCACACTCTGGGGATGCCTGACGTGCCCACGGGGGGGGCCATTGTGCCAGGCAGCCGGCCCCGGGGTTGGTCTGGGGCCCTGCGCTCTGCTGACTCAACTGTCGCTTCCTGTCGCGGGCCCTGTATTAGCAGTATTTTTTGGAAAGGCTGCATTATTCTCTGTAATCCTCATTTCAGTCAATTCGGCCACACTATTGTCCTGCCTGCGTCTGGGTGGCCACGGTATAAAATATTCCAGTCACAGACATATTAAATAAAGGCTTCGGAGATCGCATGTGTGGGCACACGCACGCTCGCACGAACAATTCACGGGTCCCACGGCCATGGCAGGGGGAGGCTTGAAGAGAGGACAACTGCCCCACAGCGGCCAGGCTAAGACGACTTCAGCCGGAGACAGCAATTTAGTCTGCGGGGCTTGACATTTCAATAGAGTCCTATCTGGTTACAAAGGGTGATTTTCTCATGAAAGCCCACCTCAAAGACTCACCAAGTGGGCCCCACAGCTCATATCCAGATTGGAGGCTGTCCATGAGATGCCCCCACCGCCTTTCCCATCATTACCCTTACCTGTTTGAAAAGCATCCCACTGATAATTAAATGCACCAGTTACAAAAGGGTGGCGAGGTTAATAGATAGAATACCGAGAAGCCAGCCAAGCACAACCGTCCGGTTCACACAGAGCAAGCCTGAACAAGAAGCCTTTCTACTTATTTACCAAAAGTGCATAAAAACTGGGCTGAGCTGGTAGAGGACTCTGAACTATTTATGTACCACCACTTTTAACCACTGGGAGCCACGTTGCAGAACTTCTTCCCTGCACATGCACTGCCCCAGTGACAAATGTCGCGGGCACCATGAAAACAAGGGCCACAGGGCAGGGCAGTCCCTGCTGTGGTCAGAAACCAGCAAGGAGCTCACAACACAGCCACTCAGTGCCACGAGCCAAGATAAAGGTGGAGCATTTCTGAATGTGGAACTCTGTCCCACCTCTGCCACCGTTTCAGGAACCGCAAGAATCATCACTTCCCGTGCATCCTAACAGATCTTCCTAAAGTTGAAAAGTAGGTTAAATGTACTTTTTTCTAATTTTTTAAGTGTACTTAAAAGCTGGAGCCAAGTGTCCCTTCTATCAGAAGGAACACACTTAGAGAAGTTTACCAAGGGGGGCTGCTCTGGAATATTTGCCTTTATGGGTGATACACTAATTATATACACATCCAGAGATTAGTTACAATATAAGAATGCATAATCTGGAAAGCTGGACATTGAAACCAAGTGCTGGCCCTTTACAATGGGCTGGTGGCGGCTGTAAATTCAGCCACGGCCTCTGTTTGCATCCGTTTTCAGATCAGGAACATGAAGACTCCTTATTGCCTTGGCTGCATTTCTTCATGAAGAACATTTTTCCTCCATGCTAAACTTCCCACACACCTTTTACCCAAAAGGTCCCTTACCGCTCTTTGCTATAAAGATTTTAGGCAGTATTCAGATTGCTTGTTTTCAGGGGAGTGACACGCCTGTAAGAGGCTGATGCTGCTCCTCCTCACCCCAACTGCCTTGATGCCAAAACTTCACTGTTCCCCACACGTTTGAAGTCCCTGTAGAATTATGGGTGTGGAGTTGGTGGGTTGCAAACTCATACAAGTACTGGAGGTTTGAATAAGTTGCTAAGAAACAAGACAATAAGGAGGAAGAAAACACAGAGCAGTTTACACCTGAAAGAGAAAAAAAAATTAGAAACGGAGTACCTTGAATGGGGATTTCATTTGGGGAACGGCCATTCTGCCGACACTTAGCACAAAGTGAGCACAGGTTCCCCCTCCCCCCCCCAGCCTAGTTTTGCAATGCAGACATGTCATTTCATCACTTTAATTTGACACAGGTGTCAGAGAAGAGGTTTTCTCCACATGAGAACAATCCCTTGCTCTGAGCACTTACACTCATGGGCGCTGTTTGTCTGCATGCATGGTGGCCACATGGGTTGTAGATACTGGCTGCAGAAAGGAGCCAGTTCAAATGAGAACCCCATCCCTCCACCCTCCACGTGTCCACACCACATCTACAGAGGTGCAGGGACCCAGAAACGCAGCAGAGGGAAGACAAGGACATGTCAATTATATTCTGTGATGAACCTTGGAGCATCTGATTTACCCAAACCCCTGGCAGTTGTTCAATCAGGCCCTAAGCGTGAAGGGGGCCAAAGCTGGCGTCCCTCTGGTATGCAAGAAACACACTTCACTGGATTTCCCTCAAAAATTCAGTTGTTCTCAGCAGCCTTTTAAGACTGTCAATGACGTTTAAATAGGAGGCCAAGAAGAGACCAGATACGTCAACTTCTTCCCCCCAAGTTTCTCTAAATGCATTTTACTGCAGGGCCTGCAATGCATCAATTCAGCGAACTGGGGTTCTGGAGTTCCTAAAAAGCTTCAGGGGCTGGGTAGTGGTAAGTACACTAATGGATTTTTAATAAGCAAGTACTACTGGGATTTAGCACTAATTTTGGGAGGTGCGATTTAACCATTTCAATGACTTATAAATGGTTATTCCCAAATCACTTCCTGTTGAGCCCAATTACCTTCCACAATGTATGTTCTTATCACTGGGTCCCCCTGATTGGAGGGTCATAAATCAGGCCAGTTGCTTCAAGTCAAAACCCTGTGAGCACAGCACTGGTATGGGGATTAGAAGCCACCAATGAGAACCACGAGCCTGGAGCTGGGGCAGCAGACATCCAGTGGAACATAACCAGATACTATCCAATGGGCAGACCCACCTCTACAGAGGTCCCCACGTGGACACTGGAATGTGGACTAGATTTCAAATGTGACCGCTCATTTCCTCTTCTTCCTCTCTAGAACATGAACAGTTTGAGTTTGTAATTCCCAACAAAGACATGAATTACACCACCTTCTAAACTGACCTTCTACCGTACACCCTGGACCACAGCTCTTCCGTGGTCAGCACATTTGGGAGGACCCATGCGAACGGTAACTGGGACTGCCTACGGGTCTGGGGCGCAAGTGGCTGAAGTCCAAGGTGGTTTGATTAAAAAAAAAACCCATATCGTCTTTCCATCTTGAATTCTGTACCAAGTTCAGTTATTACTTATTCAAGAAAGTCAGTCTTAAATAGACATGCTTATTAATATTTAATTGCCAAACTGAATGAAACTGCTCTATGTACTTCAATACCTAAGTGTTTCACTTCGGTTAACACTTACCCTGGAATCATTCTTGAAAGTTACAGACTGTGGTGTTTCTCTAACCACACTCGGGAAAATAAACTAAAACAATACACCTAAACGCCACTTTCTCTTGGGAAGTAAGGCTTATATTTCACAGCAGGCCTTTTAGGGGGGCAGGGTGGAGACTCATTTATAAGTGATACATGCATTTGGCCCAACTTCAAAAGAACCACACTCAGTGTAGCCCCAGCGGTCTCCCTATTCTAGAAAAGCCGAGAGTCTATTTCATGGTTGGTGACCCGTGGGCCCTGAAACCACAGAAGAGCACCAGCAAATCAATCGACTCTGCCCCACACACCGCTTCTGCTCATTCCCCATCTAGGACTCTTCCAATGTCAAATGGGGACAGACATACCTTCTAGGTCACTTTTCCAGAGCCAGTCCAGGGAGCAATGCTCCCTTGTTCTCATTCAAGCGGTCCTCTGACCTTACTCTCCAAAGTGAGCCTCAGCCAGGCCTGCAGCTTTTCCACATCACTAATAAGATTCCTTTTATGGTCTTGTGAAAAGCAAGGGGCTCCGGACAGATCCTCAGGAGGGTGGAACCACCTGCAGGCCCCTTCCCCCTAAACTCCAAACACAAGTTCAAGGGCGGTCAGTATTCACAGTTAACTTGGGCACAGTCAGATTAAAAAGTGGCCAGCCTCTTTAAAGTTCTCCCTAGCAGGGGATTAACAAACAAGATAAACACTCTTTGTAAAACTGAAATCCCACAACAGACGCAGCCCTCCATTCTCAAAGAACTCTACATACCACGGGTTTTTATAAGTTCCTTTTAATGGCATGTTTCCGATAACTCTTATCTCACTCATGGCAGAGGGCACTTTATAATGCCAGCTCCGGTAAATGCGGGCCTTGAGAGCCACCCCAAGATACACACACACACACACACACACACACACACACACACCCACACTCACCCACCCAGGCACTCTCCTCCTTCCTCCCCTCCCGGCGATGCGAATCACAGCCCCAGCCCGCGGATAGGAGGCAGCAGAGTGCACCCCATCAGAGCACGTGGCGGAGAGTATTCCCCTGGGCACCAAGCTTTCCCCCTCCCCCCTCAACGCCCACCCTCGCAGCACGGGCTGGGCCAAGCCCCAGTCCTGGCGACGAGCCACGCACGCCTCCTGGACAGCGGGAGCGGAGCAGAGGGCACCAGCATTTTCCCCTTTCCTCCCCTTCTGCAATCACGCTCATCTTCCTTCTACCCAGTTTGGGATGTTGCAAGGGCCTCGTTGCAGGGTCGGTCAGCGGGGCCCGGGGCCTCAAGCGGCACCCGGGGCGGGGGTCCACGCACTTGGACTCAGCAGCCACCTCTAGTGGGCAGCCCCTTCCAGGCCTTGACACGCCCCCGGAGGCTAGCGGGGGCCGGGCGCCCGCCGGACGAGGGCGTACCCCCGCCCTTCCCGGGGAAGTTTGCAAACACAGCTGGTTCCACAGCCCGGGAACCGCTGGAAGTGAGGCCACAAGGGCTACACCGCGCGGGGGCGAGGGCAGGAAGGGGCCGGCAGGGGGCGGAGGCTCTGAAGCTCTCAGGCTCCCAACTCCAGCAATAGCCCAGAGACACCCCCCACACACACACACACCAAGCGGCCGCCGCCCCCGCGCCCTCCCATCCAGCCCGGAGCGCGTCCCCGCACGCCCCAAAGTCTCCCGGAGAGCAGCGGGAAACAGGCCCCCCCACACCCTCCAGGAAGGACACACCCGCCCTCCAGGCCGCTCACGAGAAAGGGGAGGGTGCCGATTTGGACCGCGTTCGAAGGCCAAAACTGCGCCGCGTCGCTTTCCACGGCGCATCAGGTTTAATCGGTTAAGCAAAGATCGTCTATAAGAACTCCCAGCTCGGGGATTGGGGGGGGGGGTCACTCAAGGGCCTTCAAATTGCAAGTTTAAACCGGCCTTCCTGGGAGCTTTGCCCCACAAACCCCTAGGGGCTCCCCACTTTTGAGCGCTTAGCAAAAAGCCTCTAAGACGGGGCCTGCTGAGATCTAACTACAGAGTCTCGGCTGCTTAACACCCCACCCCGCAAGACTTTTCCAGTTAGCGCGGAGTTTCAAGCCAAGGCCCTTTAAATCCCTCTCGCAAGAGAGAGCGGGGCTCGGCAGGCGCGGGTGCGGACCTCGGCGGGCTCCCCTCACCGCGCCGCTCACTCACCGGCCAGGCGAAACTGAAAGGCAGCACGATGCGGTTGCGTTCGTTGCCACGACTGGCCTTGAGATTGAAGGTGTTGCCCCCGATGACAGGAGTGGATCCCGAGCCGAAGCTGCAGGGCCCCCCGGCCGTGACGCGGGACTGGTACTCCTTGAGGCACACTTTGAAGTACGTGTCACACTCGTCGTGGGAGCACTTGCGGTCCCCCGGGTTCCGGACGCCGCCGCAGCAGTTCCCGTTCTGCAGCTCCCCGTTCACGTTCTGCATAGACAGGATCTCCAACTCGAACTGGCCGGAGGCCCCGCACACCTGCCGGCGAGGGAGGGAGGGAGGGAGGTCAGCGCAGGGGAAAGTTGTTTTCTTCGAGGGTGGAAGCAACGACTCCCTCCCCGCCCGCCCCGACGAGCCCTCAGCGCCAAGTGAAAATAATTTTGCAAAACCGAGTGCAAAGACTCAACGTGATTTCCCGGGCATAAAATGCACGAGCGCAGGAGAAATCCGACGACTGCCCCCGGGGTGAACAGCGGAGGGAACGCAGCCCCCTGCCCCACCTGGAGGGTACATTTAGGAGGTTCGGGGCTTCCCAAGCCCAGGGGCAGCCTCTCGGGCGCAGGACCCGGCCGGGGAGCCGGGCGCCCAAGGGCTCCCGAGCCCGCTCCAGGCGCTCAACCGCAGGCGTCCAGGGAGCTGAGAGGGAAAGGAGAGGGCGGGCCGGGGGGGAGGCCCGGCGGTCTCCTACCTTGGCTCTCAGGGCGCAGAGCAGAGCAAGCAGGAGGCTCAGGGGGCGCCCGAGCCGGCCGCGCGTCCGTGGGGACCGCATCGCTGCGCCGCGCGCCGCGGACACTCGGGACGCCGCCGCCGCCGCTGCTGCTGCTCGCGCTGGTGCTCCGGCCGGTGCTGCCGTCGCCGCTGCCCTTGCGGCCGCCGCGTCCCGGCTCTAATATACTCCGCCGATTGGAGCATGCACGACTGGAAAACAACACCACTTTTCAAAAGCCCTTTCAAGAGCGGCGCGTTCCAGAAGGCAAAGGGCCCGGCCTCCTTTTATTATTCTGATCGCTTCTTTGAGGCGCTCCCCCTCCTCTTCCACCTCCCGGCTTTCTTTCCTTCTCTCGCGCTCCCCTTCTTTTATTATTATGATTATGCGCAGCCTTTATATTCCCTTTCAGATCAGCTGCTTAAAAAGAAGAGAGGGAGGGGAGGAAAAAAAAAAAAAAAACGAGCCCAGCTCGCGGGCCGGCTGCAGGTAACACAATGACGCGTGCCCGCCCGGCTCTCGGAGAGGGACTCGGAGAGCCCGTCTGGGAGCAGCGGCCCGGGCTGGCCACCTCTACCCAGCGCGCCCGGCAGGCGCATGCGCGCTTATTAATATTCATGAGGAGGCGTGTCGCCCGAAGACACGCCCCTTCCCTCTGGTTGATGGGGAGGGGGAGGACTGGGAGGAACTTGGAAGGGGCTGGGGGCTCAGGGACTCGCGATACAGCGAGACGTCCCAGGGCCCAGCGCGGACCCCTGCCCTCGGGAGCTTTGGGCCAGGCGGGAAGGGGGGTAGCGTGCGGCGAGGAACTTGCTAGGGTCCGTTGCTCAGGGACGCGCGGCGCCTCATTGCTGCCCGGGAGCCCCCTCGGACGCCTCGGGCCGGGCGCCTGTGCCCGCCCGTCGGGGCCCCAGGTGTAGGCGCCGCGGCGCTGCCTGAGCTGTCGGAGCCGGGCAGCTTCCGCCTTCCGAGCCGCCTGCGTCAACTGCGGCTTTCGCCCCAGGAGGAGGGCCTGCCCGCCGGGAGCCCGGCCCGCTTTCCCGCGAGCGAGCGAGCCGCCCAGAGCGCGCTGCTGGCAGCGGTAGTGGCAGAGGCGGCGGCGGCGGTGGCGGCGAGGCTGGCGTGCTTGCCGCCGTCTGCTCGCCCGGCGGAGGCGACCTGGGCAGGCGCTGCTGGGAACTTTGAAAAACTTTCCCGGAGCCAGGCTTGCCGCAGATTCTAGGGGAAGCGTCGGCCGCGCCCCACCCCCTCCCCGATCCGAGTCTGCGAAGTCTCGGAGGGCTCCCAGCGTCAGGGTCCAGCGTCTTTACCAAACCGTGCCAAGGCAGGGTCTAGGGAAACCGGGAAGGGGAGGGCGGCGGACACACTGGGGTCTGCTCAGATTTGGGGAGGGGCTGAGCGACATGCTGATGGGCTTGGGCTCCCACTGTCCTGGTCTCGCTGCCCAGGCCGCAGTGCCGGGATTGCACCTGTAGGCGGCCTCCGAGCAGCTCTCTGGGTGGCAAGAGAGGAGCCTGGAACGGACCGTCTCCCCGCCATCGCCCTGAAGCAGAACTTGGCTTTCTGGTGTGGCAGTGGAAACCGATGCTATTTTCCACCTTGAGGCGAGCCTCGCAGTTTACAGCGACACTCCTGGTCATAACCAAGGTCAAAGGAAACCTGCGGGCTGGCCAAAGCCTCTGCCAGCCCCTCTCGCAGCAGACATGCTGCTGTGTTTGAGGGGACCTCTTGATTTCCCCTGAAGGATAACAAAGTTTTGGCCCTCATATTGGGCATGTTCTGCGGAAAAGCGCGACTATTCAGGGGCAGGATCGTGGCTTGACCCCTCTGGGACTGTGGGTCATGATGGGCTGCAATGGGTCAAAGCAAAATAGTTTCCAATATACTGAGTTATGAGTGCATAGAAGGTTGGGTACATCATGGTTATTTACTGCATTTAGTGGCAATGTTTTCGGTGCCAGATCTCAGCACTCTGGGGAATAAGGCAGCCAGCTGACCTCTTTACATTTGTTCAAAGCCACCAAAGGTGGTTTAGCGATCTTGGCGTTTTAACAGCTCAGGAAATACTCCTAAGAAAGGTACCTTCTTAGTGGCAATGTGTCCCATCTTGACCATCATTGGTGAGATGATCTGTGGCACAGGCAGCAGCAACCTGAGCATTATGTCTTAATGTGCCCTAGTCCCTGCAATTATCCTAAATGCAAGGCAGCCAGTTGTCAACTGTAAGTGCATCTAGACTTTTCTCAAAGTTTCCAAACCAATCTCCTCTCTTTCCTATCTGCCTCCTTCTCCCTTGTCCTCCCAAATGTCCATGGGGGTGCTAAGTAATGGTTTAAAGGCAAAATGCTTGTGCTGGGGATGGGGGGAAACAATTCGTGAAGGCTGATGAGGTCTTCAATTGCACACTCCTTGGAGTTCCCCATGTCTGAACGTGTTTTAATTCTGTGCCCTGTGGCTGGTCCCCCACACACTGCTCAGGAAGGAGGCTGAGGCCTTGAGTTGCGTTTAGATCCAGCCACCTGGGTTAACCCGAAATGGCCACCTGAGATTTCAGGTGCCTCCAGGTAGTAATCTGGGCTGCATGTAAGCTGGGGTCAGCTCCAGGCCACAGTTGAGTTTAGCCCCCTTGATTCTTTTTTTTCCTTCTTATTAAGAAAGAGAACGTAGGTTTCTGGGGCTTGAAACTCTCCAATGAACCCTGACAGGTATGTGAAATCACTAATAAACACAAAATTCATATGTCGAAAACGACAGTGTCCCTCACCCTTCCTGAGCTTGGGAACCCACTTTTAGAGAAGACAGTTGTGGGCTAGAGGGGATTCTTCTGAAAATTTTCAGCTGGGACTCTTCCAGCTAATTGGTACTCCCCCAAAAAGCCAGTCACGTTTACCGCAACAGACACCAACTGGAAGCTCTGCCCTCTACTTCCTTGCTGCTGGCTCTCAGCCTCACTCTCTGTAGAAGGGGGAACTTCTTCGGAAAGAGCTCAAGCACGCAGATTCCCCCTTGGCCAAGTCACATCCTGCCTTTGGGTACAGCAAGTGAACATTCCAGAAAAAAACGTTCCTGTGGAAAGTGCCCTGTTTAGCCATCACACCTACACCTGTGAGAAGGGGAAAGGTTTGTGGTCAGTTCCTGTCTGACCCGTCTCATGTGCTCCAATCATAGCCATCCTTTGGTATCTTTCTTTAATTTTAAAGATGTACTTATTTTAGAGAGAGAGCAGAGGGGAGGAGCAGAGGGAGAAAGAATCTGAAGCAGACTCCCCACTGAGAGCAGAGCCCCACATGGGGTTCGATCTCGTGACTCTGAGATCATGACCCGAGCCAAAATCAAGAGTCAGATGCTCAACCAACTGAGCCACCCAGGTGCCCCACTTTCTTTAATTTTAAAAAGATGCCTTATTTTACTTCTTCCACAAAACTTGCCCTGTTTTACTGAGTCATCCACAAACAGCAGTCTTGAACACCCCCCCCACCAAAGGCTTAATAAGAGACATTCAAGCTATAATAACTGAATGTAAATACATTTGGTCACTTGAATCCCTCAGCACTATGATAAAAATCAGCAAATCAGTATTTATTGAGAACTATATTACACCTAGCAACATGGATCTCAAAAACAACCTACTGAATGAAAGAAGCCCGACACAGAAGACTACATACTGTATGAAACTGTTTATATGAAGTACTAGGGCAGGCAAAACTAATTTGCAGTAAAAGAAAATGTCGATGGAAGGATGGAGATGAACTGGGATTGTCTTGAGGCTTCTTCCAGGGTAGGCATAATGTTCTGTGTCATGATAAGGGTTTGGACTACCCAGGTGTATGCATTTGTCAAAATCCTTTAGTGCGCTTAAGATCGGTGCATCTCATGTGTTCAAAAGAGACAAAATCGTAATAGTCAACTTGAGTTAATTATATGGGTGCTGAAGTATATAGAGGGAAGTTAAATGATATTTGCAGCTTGGAAATGCATTTAAAAATGAGATTATGGGGGTGCCTGGGTGGCTCAGTCGGTTAAGCATCTGTCTTTGGCTCAGGTCATGATCCCGGGATCCTGGGATCGAGTTCCTCCTCCCTCTTATGCTCTCTCTCTCACTCTCTCAAACAAATAAAATCTTAAAAAAAAAAAAGACTGTTTCTCATAAAAATGAGATGATGGAGAGAAACTGGCTGGATGGATATATGCTGGAGCAAAATAGTGAAGGGTTAAGGATAGGATCTAGAGGGGACATATGGTGTTCACATACAATTCTTTGAAATGTCTCTGCCTGAAATTTTTCACTATAAAACGTTGAGGAAAATCGTTACCTGAATATGCCAGGTATTGTGTAAGGTGCCAAGAAGAATACAGTGGATGACACCAGAACAGTGGACTTAAAGATTACAGAGTGGAGGGCATTCCTGTAAGGGATGATGATAGCGTAGATTGTTGTAATGAACAAAAGGGAGGTCCTTATCCCCCCCCATTCTTTGTCTCCCTAATACCTTTCTTCTTTCCAACAAATAAGAGAGGAAGGTCCAAATATATAAAGGGACCTGTAAAAAAGTCATTTAATACCTTCCTTTTTCTTGTTTGCACCTTGCAGAGAAGTTAAGGCAAGTTCAGGAGCCCTCTTCTATAGAAGAGCAGATGGTGATATCTTTCTGCTCCTTTCCAGCAGAACCAAAGGATGCTTATGTCCTACAAGCTCTTCTTTCCTTCTACCATGGTACCACCTCAGAAAATGCAAACCCCTGTAAACTCTGCCCAGCCAGCCCTCCGAGGAAGCACGGCCTCTGAGCAGACAACCACCTTCATGGATGATTCTCCTTCTTCCACATCACAAGCAGTTCCGAGAAAAACCTATGGGCAGCACATAAGACATTAAAAAATTCAGGATAAAGTTATAGCTCCCATGGCAACCATAACCAGGCCACAAGTTTATCCATTTAAGCATAAACTGAGTAGATCCAGCCCTCTTTTTTCAAAGCTTCATTTTACATCCACAAGAGAGCTGAATTAATTTTCTTTGGAAACCAGAACTACGAATTTCTTGCATTATTAACAGTAATTTCGTATGAGCTTTCGTTTAAAACATTGTTTTGGTTTGGCCTTGAGCTCAGGCATTTATAATTTTGCCTGTCCTGCCCCGATGCCGTCTCGCAGGCTTTATGCGGAAAGCTCTCAGGACAGAGTTTCATGTCCACGGCCCCTTTAACAAGCCAGTGATTGAAAGTCACAAAAAACCCAAGATGCAAAATCTAGGAACCGGGGGACTGATTTCCTCATTTTACTCCTTGAGTTTAAATTGAAGATTCTGTATGACCTTTCATAGTTTTATATAGTTCTATAGTTTCATAGTTTACTGGGGAAAAAAGTTCTACTTGTAAAACATACCCTTTTCTTATGGCTGAGAGCCTTTTTGAAAATAAAAAACATCTTGGGTGTCAATTTTTGTTAAATTGACCTTCTCAAAACAATTATAAATGATTCATTCACCCTCCTTTTTGTGGTGATGACGTAGTGAGTTTTCTGTTCTGTGAATGACACTTGAACAACTTGACCCATAGATATTCTGGGATAGGATTTTAAACAAACAAACAAACAAACAAAAACCCAAATTGGTCCATTTGTACAGTTGACTGATCTAAATGCAACTAATAATTTTCTGTAATTGCAAAGTGTGACTGAGCTCTTACAAATCTTTTCATCGCCTAAAAGGCTCTGGAAATTACACTCCCAGAAGCAGGTAGCATGTGGAAACTACCACAATACAGTTCACTCTGCGAGCACCTTTTCGTCTGGTTTGCATTCTGCTTTTGCAAATAGGCACAAACCCAAATCTGCCTCCAGGTCTAAAAAAAATTGTTGAGAATTAAAGTAGTTGTTGGAACTTGGGAAAAGGAGAACTAAATATATTCAGTTATCTGAGAAAATTTCAAAACTACATAAATGTGAGAGTCAAAGGAAGGTGATTACACCTGGCAATGGCACGAAAGCCATGCGCTTTCCACTCACGGTATTTCATGTTTCGGTTAATGGTTCTCAATAAATTACAAGACTCTGTCTGCGTTTGACACTTTTGTTCTCAAGCCAATGGTGCCTTTACTGATGCCTTTCTCTAAATTGGAAGTTATGAAGGACATGAAAAGAGGATGTTTGCAATACTTAAGTTTAGTTTTTCATGTGAAATGTAAATAGTTGTTTTTATTATTGTCTTTATGCCAAGAGTGCTCAAGGATGGCTAAAGAAACATTCACTTGAACACAGAAATATTGGCACAAGTACTACCTACAAACTTCTAGATCCCTAGGTATCAGCCATAACATACACAGATTTTTACAAGCATCATTTAAAAATGATTTCAGAACATGTCAAAGATTTTTTTTTTCTTTTTGGAAATGAACTTAAGGCATAGAAAACTTACAATGACTGTAAAGGAGAAAGTTTAGTTTCCAGAAGATGGCTATGGCATCCATGGTAATATTTTTTTTTTTCAAAGGCAGGTAACAACTAGAGAAGTCAATTACATTATCTTAGGATAGTTTGGCAGT